TGCCCCCAATTCTCCCGGGTCCAAAAAGGAAGGAAAAAAAAAAGAGAGAGAAAGTAAAAGAAATGTAAATGAAGAATGCACGGAATGTCCTTGGCTTACGACTATAGTTGAGTCCAACTGTAGAACAGAACAGAACAGAACAGAATATAGAAAAGAATAGAATAGAAAATAGAATAGAATAGAATAGAATAGTGAATGGAATGGAATAGAATATAGAAAAAAATAGGAATAGAATAGAATAGAATAGAATAGAATAGAATAGAATAGAATAGAATAGAATAGAATAGAATAGAATAGAATAGAATAGAAAATATGGAATGGAATATATGGAATGGAATAGAACAGAACAGAACAGAATAGAAAATATGAAATGGAATGGAATGGAATAGAATAGAATAGTGAATGGAATGGAATAGAATATAGTATAGAATAGAATAGAATAGAATAGAATAATGAATAGAATAGAATGGAATAGAATAGAATAGTGAATGGAATAAAATAGAATATAGTATAGTATAGAATAGAATAGAATAGAATAGAATAGAATAGAATAGAATAGAATAGAATAGTGAATGGAATAGAATAGAATATAGTATAGAATAGAATAGAATAGAATAGAATAGAATAGAATAGAATAGAATAGAATAGAATAGAATAATGAATAGAATAGAATAGAATAGAATAGAATAGAATAGAATAGAATAGAATAGAATAGAATAGAATAGAATAGAATAGAATAGAATAGTGAATGGAATGGAATGGAATGGAATAGAATAGAATAGAGCTGGAAGGGACCTTGGAGGTTATAAATTTGTTTCCAAATTTGCTGGTTCCCTCTGAAATGTTAGGTTCTGCTCCATCTCTGCTTTTACGAAGCCTCTGCCATTTGTCTATTACCACTTTTCAGACTCTCTTTTGCAAGAAGCAGGCTGCGTCTATTCCTTACTTCAGTATTTTTCAACCTCGGATTTCACTTCCTAGAATTCTCCAGCCAGCTTGCAACAAGCAAAACAGCAATAGCAATAGTGCTTAGACTTATATACTGCTTCACGGTGCTTTGCAGCCTCTCTAAGCAGTTTACAGAGTCAGCATTTTGCCCCCAATGATCTGGGTCCTCATTTTACCCACCTCGGAAGGCCGGAAGGCTGAGTCAACCCTGAGCAGGTCAGGCTTGAACTGCCGGCAGTGGGCAGAGTCAGCCTGCAATATTGCACTCCGACCACTGTGCCCCCATGGCTCTCAACGGGCAAAGCCAGTTTTGCTTAACGATTGTGTGATTTGCTTAATGACCACTGGGGGAAAAAAGGTTGTAAAATCAGGGTGAGTCAATGACTTCATTGTTTAGGGGAAGACTTTTTGGCTTGAGGACACCCTGCAAATGTCTCACCGCCGGTTTTGCTGCCCACAAGACTCAGGGTTTTGTGTAGTTTTTTTAGGGGGGGGGGTTTGAAGGCCCTTTTCTTCAACGGCCTGGCTTCTCTCCTGCCCGCACAGCCGTCCGTTGTGTGGACCTCTGCTGGCTTCACCATTTGCCTTCTGATCATGCCAGCTGGGGCGATCCTGGCAAGGCTTCCAGAGTCTTTGCGACAGCTGAGCCCTCCGTCATGTCAAGGCGGGCATCTGCAGCCCAGGGATCGATCCGAGCTCTTCTTCTCTGAGATGGAGGCAGACCCTTGAAATTCATTCAGAGGACTGCCAAAATGGCCGGCGGCAGAGAATGCAAACGAGACCAGGAAGAGTGGAAAGGAAGCCGGTTTGTTTAGCTAGCCCAGGGGTCCGTAACCTTGACAACTTTAAGGCTTGTGGACTTCAGCTCCCAGAATTCCTCAGCCAGCATGGGGGAACTATGGCCCTTTCATGACTCGTGGACTTCAACTCCCAGAATTCCTGAGCCAGCATGGGGGAACTATAGCCCCCTTCATGACTTGTGGACTTCAACTCCCAGAATTCCTGAGCCAGCTTGGCTAAGCTTGGAAACCTCTCCCTTTCCCCTCAGCATGGCTGGCTCAGGAATTCTGGGAGTTGAAGTCCACCAGTCCTAAAAGAGCCAAGGTTGCCTACCCCTGCCCTAATATAATTTTTTCCTGGGTTCCCCACTTCCAATCACTTTGTGTGTAGGGGGAGCAGGTGCGTGTTTTGCAACCAATGCCACGCTGCTGAAATCCTTCTGTTCTGAAGCGAAAGGCCCTTTAGCCTGAGCGAGAGCCTTTGCTGACAATTAGAGATGCGACGCTTAAAAAAAAAGACATAGTTTCTTTCACAGCTTGGAACACTCGAAACGGCCATTTTGAAGGGAGGGCATTTTGAATTTGGGACATTGGCAGCCCCCTTTCCTGCTGGCCACGTATCTCGGGAGCCAAAGTGACCGTTTCCTCCGAACAGTTGGGGCTGGGACCATCCAGACGGGAATGGCTCTGGATTAAATCCTAAAAACGGGAGGCCAGTTTAGAAAGAGCGACGGTAGGGCTTTCAAATTCAACACTCGCGCAGGCAGACGGAAAGGCGGAAGACGGGGATGGAGGAGAGTCAAAATTATAATCATAAAAGCTGGCCTGCCTGCTATCGATTGGGATGAGGGAACGTCAAAGGCTAGATTTCAGTCTACGGTGCTGGAATGCTAGAATACAAGAAAACAACACTGGAATACAAGCAGTATTCCACTATTTGAGGGGCTGCCACAAAGAAGAGGAGGGGGTCAACTTATTTTCCAAAGCACCAGAAGGCAAGACAAGAACCAATGGATGGGAATTAATCAAGGAGAGAAGCAACCTGGAATTAAGGAGGAATTTCCTAACAGTGAGGACAATTAACCAGTGGAACAACTTGCCACCAGAGGTTGGGGGTGCTCCATCGCTGGAGGTTTTCAAGAGGAGATTGGACAGCCGTCCAGAATAGTAAAGGGTCTCCTACTTGAGCATGGGGATGGACTAGAACAGTGGTTCTCAACCTTTTTAATGCCGCGACCCCCAACTGGTCGTAAGTCGAGGACTACTCAACCGGTCGTAAGTCGAGGACTACTCAATTGGTGCAGCACCGTTTGCAGAATGGGACTTTTGGCGGGCTCAGCAGGGCAGAGACAGCCTGGACCATTCCTATTGGCTTTTGAAAGCCAATAGAATTAAGACTCTATTCAAGAGAGTCTCTTCTATTGGCTTTCAAAAGCCAATAGAATAAAAGGGAGGAGCACAGCTAAGGAAAAGGGGGGAAAAAATGGCGGACTGCGTTGTTTGGCGACCCCCGGGAAATGGTGGTTCGACCCCAAATGGGGTCCCGACCCACAGGTTGAGAACCACTGGACTAGAAGATCTTCAAGGTCCCTTCTAACTATGTTATTATATGTTTAGAATAACCCTGTTATTCTACCGTAGCAGGAACTGGGTAGGTCTAGTCTAATGAAAAGAAGGACCAGGGGTGACATGATAGCAGTCTTCCAATATTTGAGGGGCTGCCCCAAAGAAGAGGGGGGGGGGTTCACCTATTTTCCAAAGCACCAGAAGGCAGGAAAAGAAGCAAAGGATGGAAACTAATCAAGGAGAGAAGCAACCTGGAATGAAGGAGAAACTTCCCAATAGCGAGACGCTTGGCAACCGACTCGCATTTATGACGGTTGCAGTGTTCCAGGGTCACGTGCTCACGTGGCAAACAAAGTCAATGGGGAAGATTCATTTAACAACCGTGTTACTAACTTAACAGCAGTGATTCACTTAACAACAGTGGCAAGAAAAGCTGTAAAATGGGGCAAAATCCGCTTAACAACTGTCTCACTTAGCAGCAGAAATTTTGAGCTCATTTGGGGTCATGTGTTGAGGACCACCTGCATCAGTCTGAGCGATTCTTAAAAAAAAAAATTGTGACATCTCTTTTCGAGAATTATTAACAAATTCCTTCTCCATAACTCAGTTTCCCGCAAAAGAGATTTGGAAGGCAGCGTTCAGAGCTGGAGGCAAAGAGGACGCCAGAGCATGTGCTGAGGATTAAGTTGCTGCCCATTCAGCAACCAGGTTAGTTAAATGGGCAGACAGAAATCTAGGGTCTTCAAAGCCACAGAACCAGATAGCCAGCTCCAGAGACTCAGGCGCGCTGAGCTTTTTTGCGCCCTTTGAAAAGATGGCCGCTGTCTAGTTTTATTTCAAAGAGAGGCTCAGGACTCCACGTGGATTTGGGAAGGACTTCCAAAATGGCAGAGCAACCCAGTCAACCTGGCAGGGTTGTTGTGGAGCAGGGGGTCTTCAAACTTGGCCCTTTGATGACTTGTGGATTTCAACTCCCAGAATTCCTCAGCCAGGCACGCGTGCCTGGCTGAGGAATTCTGGGAGATGAAGTCCACAAGTCATCAAAGGGCCAAGTTTGAAGACCCCTGTTGTGGAGGATAAAGTAGAGGGACACTGTGTAAATAAATCTCCTTGAGTTTTGGAGACGAGGCAGGACAAGTGAATCAATTGAATAAGATAGATCCCAAGCTGCTTTTCTCCTACTTCTGTGTAGGAGCAACCCTTGTTAACGTTTCTGTTATTCATTCCCCTCCCACCCTTAAAGTTAAGTGGTACCTTGGTACTCAACCGCTTTGAAACTCATCCAATTCAAGACTCAGTGCATTTTGACATGAAAATTTTGTCCCGGTATTCATCGTTTCTTTGATACTCAATGCACAAGCCAGAACCTGTCCGTGTCGGGCTGCCTTGTGACTGGCTACGTTATTCCTTATATGGGAATAACGTAGGAATTGTTTTCGGTACCCCTCGCGCCTCCCGGAACCAATTCACGATGAGTACCAAGTACCACTGTCTCCAGTTTAGTGGAGAAGACCTTGTGGAGAACAAAAAGGATGGGAAAAAGACGAATTTTACATCACCACAAGCCGCTTCTCCGTTTCATTTTATCAAAAGCAACTTTTCAAGCAACAAGTCACGAGAGAGACAGAGAGGCAGCGACTGTCTCCTCCGACACCCCCAATCTTGGCAATCGTTCCCCCCCCCCAATTAAGGACCCCCATTTCTTACTATGTGCAGCTGTAAGTAGTCGCCGAGTCCAGAGGCACTGTCCACCCGCACCAGGATTGCGTTCTTCTGGTGCGTACTGAATCCCACGGCCAGCCGGTCAGCCCGTGTGCTGGGACGGTCATTCGGGGGCCAAATATAGGTAATCAGTGCCCCGCCTTTGCCAAAAATGTACGTCGTGCCAGCTGGAAAGAAGAAAGAGAAGAAGAAGGAGGAGTCAGCAAGGAAGGCCCAAGGAATTCCCACCTTGTTAATAGGAGAACAGTCTCTTTCCCAAAGTTTTTGGCAGATTTCCGTACGTCAAACTAGAGAAACGTCTACCTCCCATCCATCCTGGTCTGTTCTGGGCTCAGAGCAGGAGTTTAATGGACACCACATCAGCCCCCTTATGAGCGCCAAAGAATGGAGGCCTTTGAACTCTGGTGCTGGAGAAGACTCCTGCGAGTCCCCTGGACTGCAAGGCGCTCAAACTGGTCGGTCCTAGAGGAGATCAACCCCGACTGCTCTTGAGAAGGCCAGATCCTGAAGTTGAAACTCAAGTACTTTGGCCACCTAATGAGAAGGAAGGACTCACTGGAGAAGAACCTGATGCTGGGAAAGATGGAGGGCAAGAGAAGAAGGGGACGACAGAAAATGGGGTGGCTGGATGGAGTCCCTGAAGCAGCAGGCGTGAGCTTCAATGGACTCCAGAAGATGGTAGAGGACAGGAAGACCTGGAGGAACGTTGTCCATGGGGTCGCGATGGGTCGGACACAACTTCACAATTAACAACAACAGCCCCCTTAAGACCAATATTTGCAGGTGTTTTGAAGGACTTTTAACGTCAACTATTTATTTGCGGAGAAAGTCTCCTAAAATCGTGCTCCAGGTAGTAAAATTCGATTTGGCAATTTGCTGGCTGCTCAGGGAGAGACCAAAGGGGTAGGAAGAGACAAATAAATGGTCTTCCCTTTTATGACTCTAAATTATCGTATTTTCTGTTAAGCAAATTTTATGGAGCTGGTGCGTTTTGTTTTTTTTTTAATTTTGTCCCTATCGTCTTGAAGCAAGGCAAAGAATCGTTCACCCTGGTCTGAGACGGAAGAAAGTCTATCGATTGATATATACTTAACTGAGGTGTATAGGATGATGGCAGCTTGGTTGAATGGGAGGTAAAATGGCAGAAAGTCAGAACATGTGCAGAGTGCTTTGACCCTCAAACCTGCTGTTCCAGGCCTTGGAAACTTTCCTTCCTTTGCCAGGCTTTTAATTGTGCCTCTGAGGAGTCTTTAGTGCTCTCTGAGCTTGATTGTTTCCTTACAGACATTTCATGACCCAGCTAGGTAACATCATCAGTGATAGAAGGGAATGGAGTTGAGAGAAGGAGGAGGAGGAGGAGTTGAGAGGAGGAGGAGGAAGAGGAGGAGGAGGAGGAGGAGGAGGAGGAGGAGGAGGAGGAGAAATAACTATGGGGTCCTTGCTGCTCTCTGAGCTTGATTGTTTTCTTACAGACATTTCATGACCCAACTAGGTAACATCATCAATGATAGAAGGGAATGGAGTTGAGAGGAGGAGGAGGAGGAGGAGGAGGAAGATGACGACGACAACGATGACTGTGGGGTCCTTGGTGCTCTCTGAGCTTGGTTGTTTTCTTGCAGACATTTCATGACCCAACTAGGTAACATCATCAGTGCTAGCAGGGTCTGCTCTCAGTTTATATTCTATAATATTATTATCTAGAAAATAAACTGAGAGCAAATCCCACTCCTTACTAGCACTGATAACGTTACCTAGTTTGGGTAATGAAACACAAACTAGGTAATAAGAAAACCCCCTAGTTCAGAGAGCACCAAGAAGCCCTCATTTCCACCCTGAGCTACAAATATTCTCCTTTGTTACAAATTTTTTCCCTTTACTTTTTTTCCCACCCTCCTGGCATCCGTGTCAATGAGATCCCCTTCTCTCAGGGATTGTTAGGGTGGCTCTCAAAAGCGCTGCTAATTACTGCAAACAAACTCCACGAAATGCTAGGCGGCTTTGCAAAGGAAATGCTCCTCGTAAATAAATAGAAATAATGATGGGGGCCTCCATTACGCCGCCACGCACACGTAGAAATCAAGGCACCGCGGGGTTTGTTGATGCTTTTATCACAGAAATGTATTCCGGGGGAGAAATCTTAAAATTGGTAAACAACGGCGGAGGGGTTGACATCTTTCCCAGAGCAGGGGTGGGCAAACGGCGGCCTTGGGCCTATCTCCAGCCCCCCCTAGGAAGAGTTCCTCGGCTTCTCGCAACGGGGCCGATGCAAATTTTAGATTTACACAACGGTGGCGAGGGATGTGGGGCGCCACATCCCCGTCTCCCGGGCGGATGCGGAGGAACACAACGCACGCTGCCTTCACACAAGACGCTTGGAGAAAAAGCACACCTGGCGCATTGGCCTTCACACTAGCAGATTTGGGGGCGGGAGGCAGCGGGGAGGGGGTGTTGAGAGGTTGCACCCCCAATTCTGGGAGGTGCGCACTGCAAAATGGCCTCCTGCCTATCTGCGTTCCATTGTAGGAGGTGTGGACTTCACCTTCCGGAATTCCCCATTGAAATCCACACATCTTGGAATTGCCAAGGATGAAATCCTGATTTAACAGACTAATAGAGTTGGAAGGGGCCTTGGAGGTCTTCTAGTCCAACCCTCTGCTCAAGCAGGAGACCCTATAACAGGGATATGGAACCTTGGCCCCCTCATGACTCGTGGACTTCAACTCCCAGAATTCCTGAGCCAGCATGAGGGAAACTTTGGCCCCATCATGACTCATGGACTTCAGCTCCCAGAATTCCTGAGCCAGCATGGCTCAGCTTGGAAACTTCTCCCTTTCCCCTCAGCATGGCTGGCTCAGGAATTCTGGGAGTTGAAGTCCACGAGTCATAAAGCAGGCTAGGCCTAGGGCAGGGGAAGGCCCCCATGGCTCTTTTATGACTCGTGGACTTCAACTCCCAGAATTCCTGAGCCAGCATGGCTCAGCTTGGAAACCTCTCCCTTTCCCCTCAGCGTGGCTGACTCATGAATTCTGGGAGTTGAAGTCCGCAAGTCATAAAAGAGCCAAGGTGGCCTACTCCTGCCCTATAGCATTCTGGACAAATGGCTGTCCAGTCCTTCTTGAAAGCCTCCAGTGACGGAGCACCCATGACTTCTGGTGGCAAGCTGTTCCACTGGTTAATTGTTCTCCCTGTTAGGAAATTTCTGCTTAGTTCCAGGTTGCTTCTCTCCTTGGTTAGTTTGCATCCATTGTTACTTGTTAGACAAACCAGGTTGGACAGATCAGGTTGGGAGACGAGATGTCTGTTGCACTGACCCAGCCTTCTGGGCAAATCCAACGGTTCGGACATACTGGAAAACAAACGAAGGGAGATCAATGCTAATCAAATGTACCTCATCTTCACGTTGTCTGTCCTGCCCAGATGGAGAGACCACAGCCTTGCAGAGCAACGCTTCAGCACAGCTTCTATCTCAGCAACACTCCAGCAAGGCTTAAGAACGCAACATTTGGAGTGTGAAGCTGCCAGAGTGCCTCTGGTTCTCTCCACCACTCCCGAAGACAAAGAGGGTGAGCAGAGAACCTCGATCAAACCGAGTTCCAGCTCACCAAATTCCTCTACTTGCCAGAAGCTGGTTGCATTCACACAACACACCCAACTAAGCCAGGTTTAGACCCAGCAGCTGCATTTGCAAATCAGCCTGTCTTGGTTAGTGCTGGGTGGTTTCCTTGCAGATATTTCATGACCCGACTAGATCAAGGCTTTTCAACCAGTGGTACGGGTACCACCTGTGGGACACTGGCACCTGGCAGGTGGTACACGACCATCCTAGAAAAGGGGTAGTAGGGGAGGGGAATGAGCTGAACCGGTGGCAGCACCGCACAAGCCTGAGCGAAAGATGGCTGGAGCTGCAGGGCTGTCAGGGCTCAGTGGAAGTGCCAGGATCAGCGCCAGGCTCCATCTGGAGCTTGGCACTGATCCTGGCGCTTCTGCTGAGCCCAGAAGAAGCACCGATCAGCTGGAATGTTGCAGCCTCTCCAGGGTCTTGTGATTTACGTTCAGATGGTTGGCAACTGATTCATATTTATGACGGTCACAGTGTCCCAGGGTCATGTGAAGTGACCAAAACCTGCTGCAACCACCCAGTAGTCGGGGGGAATAAAAACCAAACACCCCCACCCCATCCCTGCTGCCAATCCTCAACAGAAATGCTCACAACAATGAAAACCTCGGACAGGAGGAAGAGCGCGGCCAGGCGGGCAGGCAGGCGTCTTGCTCGGCTGTGGCTTGGGGGGCATTTTTTTCAGTGCCATTATAACTTCAAACAGTCACTAAGTGAACGGTTGTAAGTCGAAGACTACCTGTACTTTATCCCTTTTTTCCTCTTTTTTTTTTTTTTTTTTTTTTTGGTCATCAAGTTTTGGACACCTTGCTAGGCAACTGGTAGTACTCGGATGTTGCCATCTCCTAAAAGTAGTACAATGGGTGAAAAGGTTGAAAAGCCCTGGGCTAGATAACACCATCAGTGCTAGAAGGGAGTGACTATTATGGGAAGTCAGCCCCGCCTCCAGAGAAAGAAATATTTTAGGAAATATTTAAAAGGCAGAATGTATTTCCCTAAAGGATTTTAAAAGCAGAAACCAACCCCGTCTCCAAGTCTCTCCGTCCCAAACAGAAACCAGCTCTGCAGAATTACAGATGTGATAATCTTGTCAGAAAGACTGGAGTCAGGAAACTGGGATTAGGAAGAAAGATCCCTAGAATCAACACACCAAAAATCTAAGAGTCATCAGCCACAGCCCCAGGGAAGCAGGATTGACTTTTGGAATATAATAGGATTAACCCACCACCATCAGAATACCTGAAAGGCACACTCAGACGCAGGTCAGAATACGTGACACAGGAACAACTCCAAACAAAAGGCTCAAGGAGGTATAAAAATCCACTCCCTACATGTGCTCTCGCTCTTTTCTTCCACAGCCGTCTTTCTGTCTGGCTCTCTTCTTCAATAAACTGCAACCTTCTTTCTAAAGCAGTTGCCATGTTGTTTATTCCCGGCTTGGACTGAACCATGATGAAGACTTTTCGTTCAACAGTATATACAAGTGACTTGCCCTCTTGGTGTTGGTGGGGGTGATGATGTTACCTAGCTGGATCATGAAAGATCTGCAAG